CTCCACAAGCAAAAAAAAAGGGGTATTTCTCAGCCATCAAAAAGAATGAAATGATGCCATTTGAAACAACATGGAGGGACCTAGAGATTATCATACTAAGTGAAGTAAATCAGACAGAAAGACATATTGTGATAACACATATATGGAATCTTAAAATATGAGATTAATACAAATGAACTTATTTAGAAATAGATTCATGGACATAAAAAACAAACGTACGGTTACCAAAGAGGAAAGGAAGGGGAGGGATGAATTAGGACTTTAGGATTAACAAATACACACTACTATATATAAAATATGGGGCTGGTCAGAAAGTCCGTTCAGGTTTTTCTGTACCAGTATGACCTTTTTGGTCAACCCAATAAATAAAAACAAGGGTCTACTGTATAGCACAGGGAGCTATATTCAATATCTTGTAATAACCTACAATGGAAAATAATCTGAAAAAAGAACATGCACACACACACATACACACATATGAATCACTTTGCTGTATAACTGCAATACTGAAAATCAACTATACTTCAATTAAAAATATAAACCCACTCAAATCATTTGTAGGTCTCGTAACCAATTTGATATGCAACTAATTTTTTCCAATTTGTTTTCAATTTTTAGTTGGGGCTTACTTTTTAGAAGTAAATATTTGAAAAAACTTACATATATAGTCTTTTGACCTTTATTGCCTTGTATGTTTTCACTTACATTTGTATTTATCAGTACTAAATCCATGGACTTGTACATTTTTATTTTCTATTCTCATATATATAGAATAATAGACTACTGGTAATCTACTCAGTATTATTTAGCAAAAAAAATGTAAAGGAAAATAAGAGACAAGTGTTCTCAGTTTACCTATTTCCTTATAGAGCTCATCTTGAATTAATTCAGTTAATTATTTAGGTTATGTCACTATCAAGAGAAACTGTTAAAATGTAGTACTTTGTATGTGGACAAAACACATTTTCTTCCCACGGTGTTTAATAAATGTTATTTTTTGTATGTAATGTATTTTAAGTGTTTTGCATTTACATTTCAGTTAATTGACTCTATGAAGACTTTGGTAGGGCTTCCCCGGTGACTCAGAAGGTAAGGAATCCACCTGCAGTGCAGGAGACCTGGGTTCAATCCCTGGATTGGGAAGATCCCTTGGAGAAGGGAAAGGCAACCCACCCCAGTATACGAGCCTGGAGAACTCCATGGGCAGAGGAGCCTTGCAGACTATTATAGTCCCTGGGGTCGCAAAGAGTCAGACACAACTGAGTGACTCACACAGACACACACAGACTTTTTTTTTCCAGTCTCATGATTTATTATACAAATGGAGTATCACATGGCGAGTTCACATTAGCTTCTTCAAGCGTGGGAACTTAACAGATAATGGACAGTTCACAATCTGTTTATGTTGCTTTTGCAGCTGGAGTTTTTTAGACCTTAACTTGAAGTCTAAGAATATCAAAGCAATACGTAGGTGGCCAGCACACAATTCATTCTCCCTGTGAGAGTGTAAGAGCTGAAATATTTTTTGACATCAGTGAAATGGAACTAGGCATCAGTTTCTGGACCCCCATGATTTCAGTCTTCCAAAAGGCTCAGACTCCACGGCCTGCGTCCTTCACAGTAAGCCGCTGCCCCTCAGTCCCTCCGGAAGATTCCACCTCCCCCTCACGTAGTCAATCATTAACACAGACTTTGTTAATGATTAAAATTTTCATCCTGCCCAAGACTTAAGTTACAAGTTGCAGGAGGACTCTTTACCTGCTAAGCCGTCAGAGAAGCCCCATTAAGGACATATTTGTGTAAAACTGTAAAAGCATTATCTAAGTATTGGGAATATAAACTTGAGCCAACCAAAGACCCTGAGCTCATGAAGTTTATATTGTGATGTAGGAAACAGACAACACGAAATCTGGCCTTCCCAGTTTCCTATCATCTAACCAACCTCAGAAGTTCCTAAGCTGTATGGCAATGCTATTGTTGCTAATTCTGTCCTCTGTGTGGTCTATCATTTTACTGTAACTATCTGAAGACTTCCATCAGGCTCTCCAGGTCTACTTCATATTAATGGTACTCAACTGGAATTGTAGAATATAGTTATTAAACCGTTTTAAAGGAGAAGCAAAATGTGTGTGTGTGTGTATGTGTGTGTATATATATATATATGTATATATATATGTATATATATAGAGAGAGAAATACCTTTGAAAATCTGTACTTACAAGATATTAGCAGGTATTTATTTTTCATGTTAAAAAGATGATTACTCGTGGGGATGTAAACTGATAGTGACATAGAGAATATGGAGAACAATATGGAAGTTCCTTTAAAAAGTAGAACTAGAACTACCATATGATCCAGAAATCCCACTAGTGGCATATACCCAGAGAAAACCATAATTCAAAACAATACCTGAGCTCCAGTGTTTACTGCAGCACTCTTTATAATAGCCAGGACATGGACGCAACCTAAATGTCCATCGACAGAGGAATCAATAAAGAAGATGTGGTACAGATATACAATGGAATATTAAATTACTCAGCCATAAAAAGGAACGAAATTGTCTCATTTACAGAGATGTGGATGGGCCTAGAGACTGTCTCACAGAGTGAAGTAAGTCAGAGAGATAAAAACAGATATTATAATATTAACACATACATGTAGAATCTAGAAAAATGGTGTAGATGGTCTTATTTGCAAAGCAGAAATAGAGACACAGAGATAAAGACACAGACATTGTATGAGGGAAGGGGGTGGTGATGGGATGATTTGGGAGATGAAGATTGACATATATATACTACTATGTATAAAATAGATAATTAATTAGAGCCCACTGTATAGCACAGAGAAATCTACTCGGTGTTCTCTGGTGACCTAAATGGAAAGGAAATCCAAAAAAAGTGATATATATACACATACATATAGCTGATTCAGTTTGTTGTATAGCAGAAACTGACACAGCAGTGTAAAGCAACTATATTCCAATAAAAAAGAGGATATTGTTAGACTGAAAGTTAAACATTTGCAGTCACTCTAAAAAAGCTGATTCTTTACCTTACAGGAGGATTTATCTAGGGTGAGTTATTATACTTTTAAAGTTCCCTTAGTACATTTCAAATAATTCAATTTACAAACATCCTGTTTACATACAAGCTACCTCAAAATTGTAATTCAAATTTTTAAGTATGGAATACTCAAATCATGAGTTGTAAATAACAACAAATAAAGATAGCCACTGACATTATTTCATCTAATACTGTCTATAATAATGTAATATATGTAAGGATACAGGCATAAAATATTAAATAAAGCCCCAAATATTAAATATTATCAGATATGATCACAAATGTAAGTAAAGGAAGATGGGATTGTTTTTTTTTAACTTATCACTCTGTCTTTTTCCATCACTTCCTTTGCAGGGAGAAGGCCATTAAGAGAGAAAAGATGAAAATACTTTCATTAGCATAACTAACAACAGAGTCAGGTAAGCTTGGAGTATGGGAGATATTAACATATGTTTTCCTATAGACTTTTTAAAAATTTTACAGGATGTCTAGGAGGGTGAGAATGGATGAAAAGAAAACTAGGTGAAACAATTGGAGGCTCGGACATTGAGGATGGTAGGTGGAAAAAAGAATTTGGGAGTTGATGGGAGTGGCAAACACAGATGACCAAGAAAGAGAGAGGTCCTAATGGGTGTTACTCTGGTCGACTCTGATAGCCAGGTATCTTAGTAGTACAAATAAAGGGTTTCATTTTCGTGTAGACTCCCAGTTCGTGTGTTCATCACTGTCTAATAATATTTTCTTTCTGGCAGTAGATTTCATTTTCCAAGTGGTAAGGGTATAGTTCTCTTTAGCATCAGCTTTATGATGGAGGGAAGCAGGTGCTGTTCGGGGCAGAGAGGTGGTTACGCTGTGATGGAGAGTGTTCTCAGGCAGGTGAGGACTGCGGACTGGGTGAAACCTGGGGATCTGGCAGGCATCACAAGCTAGAAGGATCCTGTGATGATCATTTCTCTTTTCCTGGTAGTTCCCTTACACAGACCTCCAGCAGCCAGTTTCATGCTTGCTGAAGAAATCCATCTAGCTACAGTTAAATATAAAGGCTTCAAATTAAAATGGATTTGAGTTGACCAACTAGCTTATCCACACTAAAATATAACCTCTTTGCGACCCTGTGGACTGTAACCTGCCAGGCTCCTCTGTCCCTGGGATTCTCCAGGCAAGAATCCTGGAGTGGGTAGCCATGCCCTCCTCCAGGGGATCTTCCCAACTCAGGGATCGAACCCGTGTCTCTTTAAGTCGACCTTCAGTGGCAGGCAGGTTCTTTACCACTGGTTCCCTCTGAGAAGCCCAAAATATAATCAAGTGAGCATGACATGCAGTTCTTTCCAGCTTTGACAAGGGGAGAATAATGGTCGTCTGAAGTGGGAAAGTACTCGAAGGGACAAGGATGAAGAAAACAAAAAGGTGAGATTTTAAAGAAAGCAAGCCAAAGACTTCATGATTTTGCCTTGGCCTGACCTAGTGATCCTCATTTGGGTGAAGGAAAAACAGCTTGTGCAGAAGTCTCTTTCTGAGTTAACTGCTGGTGTTTCTTTTCTGCTTGGCATCAAAGGTGAAGCATTTCTTTTAAAGCGCATGCCAGCTCTTTCCAAAGGGTCTCAGATGATCCAATAACTGAAGTATCACTGCAGAAGTTGAGAAAAAATTCAATTCCTATTGCAGAACTCCTTAGTGTGCTTCATTTTTTAATCTCATTTCTCATTCCCCTTGTGGCTCCAAACACACTCTTCCTCCTCTTAGGCCCAGAGTGATTTCAGAGGATTCTGTAGCAAGTTCCTAGAGACCCATTGTGCAGTAACAAAGAATTCTCTGGAACTGCAAGTTCTGTCCTCACTTGCTTCCCTGAGTGGGAAGGTTACTCTCACCCCTCACAAATGGTAGAGGAGGATGGGCAGTGCCCAGGCCTGCAAGCTTGCCATGAACTAGGAACTCAACATGCCAATCAAACCTGTTGGGTGGATATGTGGGCAGGTGTTGAAGAACTTTTCTGGAAGAAGTATGCACACTATTCTTGTGAAGGGGATGGGGGTATGGAAACTGGGAGTTAAATCCCCAAGGTGGACCCAGCATTCTGTGTTCTTTTGAATTTGTCTAGGACATTTTTAGTTAAGCATATTTTTACCCCCTAACTTCTTTTTGTCTTAGTTGAGGGGATCCAGAAAGTAATCATGGACCTTATAGATGAGTTTAAAGATGAATTCCCTACCATCCTCAGATTATCACAGTCTAATCAGGTAATGTGATTTTATAACTTTGAAAAGGATTGTAAAATGTATATTGTATTTTTAGTATCATACCAATTATTGAATTTTCGATTATGAGATCAGTATTTGAAACAGGAAAACATTCCTTTCACCTCAGAAAAACACCACTTCAACTCTGACTCTATGTAAAGCAGAAAGTTTGTGGGCAAGGAAGTGAGGTAGGTAGATGAATTAAGTTTAAGGACAATCACTGTACCATTAGATTGGAAATCTAGAACATTCTCATAGCTACAGTTGCAACCTAGTTTGCTTAAGATTTGTATAATGTAAAAATCAGAAAAATACCTAGATATACTTTGACTAAAGCCTGTGGTAATTAAGTAAGTGAAGAAATATAACTGATAAAAATGATACCACTGGAGAGGTAACTATGGCATGAGTGTGTGTTTTAATGTGGCAAGAAAATAGTGGTATCAATTTCAACAAAGTATATATGCATATGTTTTAAACACCTGTTCCAAAAAAGGTTTAAGATAAGATATGGGAGTGGAAGGAGCTAGGTAGAGAATCATAAAGACATTTGGTCAGGAAAAGGTAACATTTGTTTAGGGGACACATGTAACCTAATTTACTCAAAAGTACACAACTCTTACTGGAAGAATGGTTTCAGTCATTTTGGCCACAGTCAGAGTAGAATATGTTATAAAGTTATATGGTACAGTAACAACTTGCTTATCCAGAAATCAGGCTTTTGGCAATGTCAACATGAAGAATGTAACATCTGGAAGTAAACAAGAGAGTGCTCTGAGTAACACAGTAATCACAAAGTCTGTATATTTTGTTCCAAAGGAGAGGTGTTAGAGCTACATTTAACCATTCATTCAGACAGCTGGCATTAGACATTTAGTAAATACTTTGCCTGGATCTGGAAGAAGGAATACAGAGATACACAAGACAGCATTCCTTCAGTCAGTGAGCTTAGTCTAATGGATACAGAATTATAAACAAGTAGTTGCAATGAAATATGGTACGAGGCATATACAATTTAGAGGAAGGAATGACTCTGCATACTGCAGTCAGAGAAGACTTCATGGAGGAAAGATGCTTAAACTGGGTCTCAAAGGATGAATAGGAGTTTTCAAGGTGAACAAAGGGATAAGGTAAGTGGGTAGGAACAGGGGGAAATATCCCAATGGAAGTACTGTCATGCCAAAAAAGTATGAAATGTTATAGCATATTTCCAGAATGTCAAGTAAATTTGAATAAATGGCATCACCCTTAGGTCTTAACTTTGGGAAGGAGTGATACTGAAATATAAGTTATCTGGATGCACAGTGGTAAGGTGGCATCTAGATGGTGGTTGGCTAAGTAGGGTAGAATAAGTCTTAAGGCTCTAGTGGGCAAATCAGACTTTGTAATTCTATATTTTAGTCCTAGTAACGAATTGCTTCCTTTTATTTGTATTCCCATAGTCTTGGTATAAATTATTTTGAAACATGAGAGACTTTTCTTGGCCATGCTCTGGATTATTGAGGAAAGAGCTGCTTGGTCTAGGAGATAAAATGGCTGTGGTCAGCACAGTAGTGGCAGTAATTATTGAGAAAACTTCAAGGTAAAGTCAGGGACGCCTAGGCCCGGAAAATCCTATTGTCCTTCCAAAGTGTGCTTCTCCCACCATTGCCAACGTTAGAGAAACTGGGTTTTATTTAATTAACGCTGCAACTTTCTTTACAGTTTCCTTCATTTCTTCCTACACTCTGCATAGCCCCATTATCACTGGAGCCATAAATATGCTTTATGGTGAAGTAGATTGATATTCTGATCCCCAAAGAACTCGAAGCTCCTATTTCCAACTCACTGAAGCCATTTCCTTATAAGAACCACATCCCACCTTTGCAAAGAAGAATATGAACATAAAGTTATTTTATTTCTGATTTTCAAAGCACATTATTCTTTTGCCACCATTTTTCTTTTACCATTTTCTTTTACCATTTTTCTTTTATCATTTTTCTACCATTTCTTTTTACCATTTTTCTACCATTATTCTTTTTCTACCTAACTACCTGAGTAGTTAGGGGATATTGTAGCACATTGAAGTTATTTGCTCTTCAAAAATAAATTATCCAGAAAACAAGGCTAATATTATGTCCTTAACTAGATTATTGTTAAAAGTCAGATGGTAAGTGTTGCAGATTTTATTTCTAGTATTGTCTGTAGTTCCCAAACATCCTGAAAGGACTGATTTTAGGACTACTTAGAGGGCTTTAGTAATTGGACTGTATTTTAAATCTCTAAATTTTGTGATTAATATTTAAATCTTTTTTTTTTTTTTTTAAATTTTAGGCACCTATTTAGGAAAAAGTCATGTTGCTGGCCTGGGGTAAAAACAAACAAACAAAAAAGATTTGATGGAAGTGATGGTAGAGTTTTTATAGAAGAATACACCCAGAATAATGGTTATTAAATAGTCCTTCATGACAATAGATTTTTAAGGGCATTGTTTCCACGCCCCCCACCCCCCTCCCGCCAGGGCTGGGGAAAGTTAATTTTAGAATTCTGGCTTGAGGTTCTGGCCTCTGAGGTCTTGTATTGTCCACTCCCTCCCTTCCAACTAGCCCAGACCCCAAAACCTTCAGTATCCACATCTTTTAGTGAAAAGTAAGTTTTTAAGGTTTACACTTGCAAATTGCAAGTGATTTCTATATGAGGACTTCAAAATACTAAACTTTTAAGTTTGAACAAATAAAAAATGCAGCTATAATTAGGGAATTAAAATTTTTTAGTTCAAATAATCTTTACTTGGATAAATTTTTTATGGTAAATAAGGTCAAATTTACTTATGAAAAGTAGTTACATAATCACCTTTTTTGTGATTATCTTGCACTTAACTGTGTACTACAAAATTGAGGATTGTAGACAGAGCACATTAGAATCCATGCAAAAACTGGATTTTTACATCTGTAGATACATTTTTCTGAACTCCATGCTTGCTTCCTTTTTTTTTTTAAACATGTGGTGCAAAAAGTGCTGGTGTGACGAAGCCGGTTTTCTGTGCCCATTGTGCAGCAAGCCTAATGCTGAGCTGCTGAAATTCACAGCAGAGAAGGGGTTTATTCATAAGACAGCCAAGTGAGGAGACAGAACACATCTCAGACTAGTCTCCCCAAAACCAAGGGGCTTGGGATGTATATGGTGAAGAGTATAGGGTAGTCAGAGGTGCAGGTGAAGGTGTTTGGAGGCAGGGAAAAGGTGAGGTAATGTCTGCTCTCTGTAGGCATATCAGAGTTACATGCTTCTTCATGGGATTCCTGTTGAGAAAATGTTGGTGTTAGCCTGACCTGAGGGTGCAGCTTGTGGCCCTCTGATGTCAAAAAGTGACCCATTGCATACCCGAGCAGGCCTAGTTGAATGGCTATGTGATCTTGACTAATTTGAACTGGGAAAGATTAGCTATGTTCCTGAAGCAGCCATTACTAGCAAGCCATATGTCAGAGGTGTTATCTATAGGGGTCAGTTAAAGGAGTCTTGTGATACATTTGTCTAAGCCATGTGACACTTGGAAGGTATACAATTTGCAGAAACAGTTAAGGCAGGCTTGGTCAGTGAAGGCAGATCAGTGAAGCAGAGGGTGTTTTGTTTTGTTTTGTCTTTTTTTAAAAAAAAACAAGTACTTCCCTGCTCTTCTGTACACTAGCTCAGGAATTGTTAGTCACCAGTTTCTGTCAGCCCTATGGGGTACATCTTCAGGGTGGGCTTTTTAACCCCATGGGGCACAGTTATACTGGGGATATACCAATGATGTCTATAAATTGCTTGTACTGGTATATATTGGGGTTTCTAAGTATAATGAGAGTAGAACTGTAGCTAGAGTGTTCTGTAATTCAGTTGTATTTTTGTCCTTGATGAGGTTTTTTTTTTTTTTTTTTCTGGTGGGGCACTATCATTATTGGGAAAGTTGCAGAGCACATTGTGTACTGAAAAATTCCTAGATGATTTCTTACTTAATATTTGCTTTATTTTCCCAATGTTTCTCAACATTAACTTGTTATATTTTTCACTCATTCATTTGAATAAATATATTTACAGAGCATCTACTGTTTGACAGTCACTATTCCAGGCACTGGCGAAGGATCAGAGAGCCAAATGGATATAAAACACTGCTGCCATAAAACTTACACCCTAAAATAATACACCCCCAAACTTACATCCTAGTCAAGTATAAGAATAGCAAACAAGGAAAATAAACTACATACTATGTTAATAGTAGATCTCAAGGAGAAGAAAGCATAGCCGAGAAGGGGTATGAAGTGTAAGGGTGGGATGGGAGAGCAGCTGATGGGTAAAAGGGGGTCTTAGTGAAAAAGTGGTTCTTGAATTGAGACTTGAAGGAAGTGAGGGAGCAAACCTTGGTGTCCCTAAGGACTAGAATGGCATCGTTAGTTCAGAGTCCCTGAGATGGGGGTCTACTTAACAAGTTCAACAAGTAATGAAAGAGGGCAAGGGAGAGAACAAGACGATGAGGCCGGGGAGGTGAGGGAAAGGCAGTCTTTGAAGACCATTGTAGGTACTCGGGCGCATGCACTGAGTGTATCAGGCCACTGAAATGCTTGAGTAGAAAAGCAAGATCGGGTCTGATGTAAGTTTTAATCGGGTCTCTCTGGCTGCTGTGTTGAGGAACAGAAAGAAAGTAGATATGAGGGTGGAAGCAGGGAGTCCATTGAGGAGGCTAATTTTCAAGTCTGGAGAAAAGATGACAGTGGCATGTGAACATTACTGGAATGAGTTGTTGGTACTGGGGCTGGTGAGAAGTGGTCAAATTCTGGGACTATTCAGAGAAAGAATTGAATAAGATTTGCTGACAAACTGGTTTCAGAGATGTAGGGTAGTAAAAAGCGGGTGTTACTGGAAATTGGAGTTCAGCATTAAAACTGCTGATGACAGAAAAATGGGCACCACTGTGGAAAAAAGAAAAGAGGAAAGCAGGATGTGTATTCAAAGAATGGAGCTCAAAAAGTGGAATCTGGAGCAGG